TAATATTGTTTTCTATATATTTGCACTTGGAAATTAGACATCTAGATAAAATAGTATTCCTAAAGTCGGTGGGACTTTTACATTAACTACTACCCCTAATTGGTAAATCCACTAAAAAGTATCCGTATAAAAGTGTGGGAACGTAATAAGCACAGAACTCTGTTCTGTACCCCTCACAGACTTACTTACAATCATGTCATCATCTTCTACTGCTACTGTTTGTCAATTCAATTACATTATCATTGGAGATTCTGGTATTTAATTTGTTCTTCCTTCCTTTGTTACGATTAATTGAACTATCTTTTTTCTTTAATTTGTTTAAAAGAAAAAATAAAGGTGTGTTTGTATATATGTATTCAGGTGTAGGGAAATCATGCTTGCTTCTACAATTTGTTGACAATCCATTTGCACCGGTCCATGACTTAACCATCGGTGTGGAATATGGGTTTAAGACTGTGACAATTGACAATGTAACAATTAAGCTGCGAATTTGGGACACAGGTCCGTTTTTTTTATTTCTTTATTTATTTATTTTTTATTCGAAAACATGCTACGAATTAATTTGCCCTAATAACTAACTAAATTATCCTTATTAATTTGGCTTCAGGCTGGTCAAGAAATATTCAGGTCAATTACGAGGAGCTACTATAGAAATGCTCCCGTCGCCTTGCTAGTTTATGACATCACCAGGTATATATATATAAATATATATAATATTTTATTTAAAATTATATATAAAAAATAAATTATCAAACAGGAGGGAAACATTCGAGGCGGTGGGGCGATGGTTAAAAGAGGCAAGGTACTATGATAGCAATACCAACATGACTATAAGAGTATCTCCAATGTTATAGTTTTGAAAGACAATGATTTTTAGCACATGTCAATCAATGATTGTAATGTTAATCCATGTAGGTATAATGTTAAAAGAGTAGAAATTTGAATCAAACTATTATCTCCAATGCATCAATTTGATAATAAGTTATTTGTATATGTGGACCAATTAAAATAATCATTAATACAAGAACAATAAAAAATTAAATCAAATATAAAATGAATTGATTAGTCATCATGTTTAACATGGTGTTAGATATTAGAAAGTGTGTTCAACATTGTCAACATTAAATGCTATCCACCTCATCATGAAAGAGTTCATGACAAGATGCATTGGAGAATAAATTAGTAATACACTTTCAAAAATTGATGATATGAATGAATTTTTATGAAGTCAAAAGCCACATTGGAGATGCTCTAAGAGCATCTCCAATGCTCAATGTTGTAGTGTCAAATTACATTCCACATTAACACATTTATTAATACATAACTTTTCATCCTCCAATATAGAATATTATCACAAATGTTGTGATGTAGTGGACATAATTAATGTCTACAATGTAAAAAAGAATGTGGTTCATCCACATTCTCCTCCACACTCTAGCTAGTCAATGAAAAGAAGAGAGAGACTTGTTATTACCATTTTCAAACTATTTAATTATTTAATTAATTCTATTAATTCATATTAAAATTTTAATATTTGGTAATAAATAATATTGTAATTAGACTACATTATGCATTGAAGATAATTTTTTAATTTAATAGTTGTGAACTCAACATTTGTCCTACATGTATCACAATCTATTTAGGGCTCATTTGTTAGAATAGATGAGATTAGATAAATCTTATCATGAGAGATGAGATTATACTGTTGAGATTATATGTGACATATGTTTGTTATTAAGGATTGGTCCAAGATAGGATTTTGGTAACTTTTGTGTTACCCATTTGTTTTGTTAGATAAGATATAAGATAAAATGTGTGAATTACTAATGTGCCCTTAAATTAAATTAATTAAAATATATAGCTCCTCACCTTTATTTGTACCGTTTATACTTCCTAATGCTCGCCATGTACTCTCATTTCAATTGCCCCCATTTTAAACTACATTATTTTTTTTCTACATTATTTTTTTTCATCTTCTCCTTGTTGACGGCATGTTTGAGTGCTCCTTCTTTTTTGCATGGCTCGGTTAAGATTGGCCCCATTTTCCACATTTGCTTTTTTTTTGNCAAGGTTAGAAAAAACTCAAAATTCTGGCACATTTTTTGTTTTCTGGGATTAAGGAAGGTTTAAAATAGACAAACCTTACAAGTCCCTTTGGTTTTTTGAAAATAAAAATTTGAAAAAAATGAATGAAAATCGAGTCTTGAGGGAACACTAAAAGCCCACAAAATCGATGAAACTGAAAATAACTAGCATTCTTGAAATCTTGTTCTAAGTTTGCTCTCACTCTTCCTCTGTCCTTTGAAACAGTGGCGACCTTTGCTCGTTGGCTGAAAGATGGAGGGGGAAACAATACGTTGTTGGTGGTGGTCGGTGAATGTCGCCAGATCGTGAGCAAATCTAGCAGTGAATGACAAGAGAGAAATGAATGGATGCTGGCAGATATTGAGCAGAGGTAGGGAAAATAGGGAACTGATTGACGAGAGTATATCGGAACAGTGACGAACGTGTTGGTTGGTGGAGGAGGGGGGGTTTAGGGGGACAATGCTGCTCGGTGGGCGGCGGATGGTTGCGAAGGATCGGTGATTGGGATGGAAGGGAAGTAAAATGATGTAATTTAATTTGCTTTTAAGGACAAAATGGACATTTAATTCTTTTGATACTGCACAGATAAAAATATCACGCCCTCTCCCCTGAGATTATTTTATCTTGAATACGCAAGATAACTGCATTTTTATCTCGGGCCGGTCATAATCTGGCGGGCCGAAATCATGGTTAACAAACGTAAGATTAACCCAAATTAATGGCCTAATCTTGTCTAATCATGAAAAGCAAATGTGTCCTTAGTTTTTTGACATTTGTCAAAATTTATCCTACAACGACATTAGAGTATTGGAGATGCTCTAATGTTGATTGGAAATAAAAACAATTTATCTGAAAAGCGACAAGTCAGCTCCGATGAAGGGGCCCAATTCGCTCACCGTAATGGGCTCGCGGCCTCTTCGAGACTTCATCCAAAACGGCCCACAACGTCAACAACGTACTACACGATTTTTTCCCATATTATTAATATATATACATACCACGTCAATTCAATTTTTTTTTTTTTATTATTATTTATTCCTTTTCAGGTGTTTATGAATGCGGCTTCCATAGTTTATGAAAGGATTAAGGAGTGTGGTTTTGAGTCGTCTGACGAGGTAAAGTATTTTCCGATGTTTCAATTTGTTTCCATATCAATTATCTCAATAGTGATTACTGCATTTATATTGAATTAAATATAATATAATGAAAATTTTAATGCATTTAATCTCTGTCTGTGTAGTTTATAAANTTAAATGTACAAACAATGGTTGATAATTTGTGGTCAGTTTTCCAGTGCGTGGAGAGCAAGTATGGAATATACACATCTACATGTCAAATATCAAAAGGTGGGGACATACTTTATTAATTTTAATGAATATAGCTGACTTATCTCCACATTAGTTTAAGTTTTTTCCAGCACAACTAACACCAAAGGGACCCCTATTTTCTGAAAGCATCATTGAGTATTGAGTAATATATATACACACTCTAAGATGCTCTGTTCTTTTTATTCTTGACAAAAGTAATACATAACCTACTGCAAAATATTCACACACACACTAGATTTCTTGAAGTAAAGGGACAATGAAGATATGTCATTTGGTTCGCTCGTCGTACATAATTTATGGCTAATCATTGCCTTTGATGACATAACCTGTCTGAGTGCCCGAACTCTTTTTTCTCTCCTTTATTAATTTTTTTTTTCTCTTTTATTAATTTGGCATTGTGTTACTTTTCAGGCAATTTATTTTCTTTCGTGATTTCTTCCTTTATTTTCATTTTCCAGTTAAATAGAACACACATTTTCTGACAAGTATATATATGTATATGTATATAGGGGACGATGAAGATATGGCTCGCTCATCAGGCATCAATGGCTAAATTATAATGTCATTGATGATGGTGATTTGTTGTTACATATCTGAGTTCTCAGCTTCTTCCATCTCCTTTATCAAACCCAATTTTCTTCGTGTTTTTCTTCACTTTGTCAAGAAATGTGTTTCTATTCAATTTTCAATTTCCGAATATCGACTTTAAATGTGTTTCAATTCAATTTTCAATTTCGCAATATCGTCCCACACTGATTCTATAAGATAAATAGACATATAGTCCATAAGTCTAGTATACTTCTCATATAACTAATTGATTTTAAAATGGAACCGAACTTTGGTGTGACTTTGGTGTGTCACTTAAACCTCTTCCTCCAAATGAAATCCAAACTACGTAAAATCAATCGGTTACCAAACTGAAAATTGTTTCGGCTCATTCCAATTTAAATAAACTTATTGGCCAAAATTAGCACACAAAGAGTTACTCACCAGTAAATGCACCATTCTGAATTGAGCACAACAAACCAAAATTTAAATAAACTTGATAGATAGATATGATGGAATTGAGCACAAAAAACCAAAATTTAAATAAACTTGATAGATAGATAGGATGAACGCGAATCGAAGTGCAAAATCCAAAGCAAAATATAACATAGTAAAAAAGAAATTAATAGCATCTAGGTGGATCGTTTGATGAGGCTAAGAAGATGGTTTGCCCTTGCAGTCTTGGCGTTTTGATACCTGATGTAGGCCTCAGTCTCATCAACCAAAAGCTTCTTCCATTCCTTATCATCCATCAAAATAACATTCATACTTTCTCTACTCATCGGCTTCAACAAGTCGGAATCGGACTCGGAGTCGGACTCGGACTCTGATTCGGATTCGGATTCGGATTCGGATTCGGATTCAGCAACTGTGTTAGACTGCTGCTTGATTGGCTGCTGCTTAGGCTTCTCTTCCAATTCCGATTCCGATTCTTCACGTTCTTCTGGTTCCGATTCGGAATGGTGACGTGATGTACGCTGCTTCTTCAGCTTGGGTTTATCCCCAATTTTTGCCATGTCTAGGGTTTGGTTTGTGTTTGCTTTTGGGTGAGGAAGAGAAGACGGTTGGTATACCCTCTATTTATACCGAATAATTCAATGTCCAAGTAATTCGAAGGGACGTTTTGGGAGAAAAAGCAGAAATTGGCTTAGTAATTAATTTATAAAGGGTATTGTCTAAATTACTGTCATCTTTTCTCGATCTTTGGATTATCTCCAAATATAAAAAAAGAAAGAAAAAAAAAACAAAATCTTTATGAAAATATTGAATAAGCAGGTTAAGGCAAGTTGTGAGGTTTAAAATGGGAGGATGAATGGGTGATGGTATGTCTGTTAGTAATTTTTTTTTTAATAGATATCACTCTTTTGGTATAAAATAATACCCCACTTTTATATAAGTCAGCATAAACAAAAGGACTGATTTTGTGAAATTCTCCTATATTCATTCAAAATTGCTCGTATATTTTAGAAAATGTTCGAATATCCTTTATATTTAACTAATTCTTGCTTTGAAACTAATTTAATTTTTTATTTTATAATTATTCAAAATTACATGTTTTTCCTCTATATATTAGAAAGTGTGCAAAACCCTCTAACATTTAATTAATTGCATGTTTACCCCTATCCGTCCAAGTTTGGTGGAAAAATATATAGTTTTTTATTTTATAGTATAATTAAATTACTATGTTACACTTCAAAATTTTATTTACAAAATGAAACGGTTTGTAAGGTGTTATATTCAAACTCAAATTACACAAAAAGAAGCTTATGTATCCAACAATGCACACCCANTTGTAGTAAAAAAAAAAAAAATAATTATCATATACGATGGATAAAAAATAATTATTGTAGTAAATCAATAAAATAGAACCTAGCGTATTATAATAACCCAATGGAAAAATGAATTAATTAAAAACATATATACTTTTGTTTTTCCTTTTATAAAAAAAATAAAAACTTGCATTATTAAAATGAAAACTCAATTCAACTAACGTTGATCTAAAACATACAAAAATAATTAATTTATTATTTTATAAGTAAAAAGATAAAATGACCACTATTATTGAATTGTATACATAATCAAATATTATATTTTTAGGAATACATAATACAAAAAATACTTTTTCCTTGATCTATACACTTTGTTCTTTAATAATTAATCATACATGGACTGATAGATTTATGATCCGTTTTCTCATTAACATTATATAGTTTGCCTTAAAAATGTGTTGAAACTAAGAGGGACAACTTACAATTAAAATCTGGTAGATGGAGAGTCGATCTTGGAATTCGATGAGTTAATTGGTGTCTTGGAATTCAAAGAGATAATTGGAATTTGAGAGGTACAACTTACAATTAAAATCTGGTAGATGGAGAGTCGGTCTTGGAATTCGAAGAGTTAATTGGAAATAACTGTTCCACGAATTTAAAATTGGAATTATTCATTTATAGGAATTGAAGAGACACAACTTACAATTAAAATGGTTTTTCAATTTCAATTGTTGGTTCGGTCTGGCCAGATGCTAGTACATGAGAGTTTAATCCAACGATTATGAAGATAAATAAAAAATCTATAAACACTGCAAAGATATTTCTAAGAGAAACTGCAGCACAGAAACAGATTTTATGTCAAAGTTAGGTTANAAAAAAAAAAAATAAAAAGTAATAAAATGTTCAACACTGTTTAAACATATTAAAGCCAGCAACAGTAGAGCATCATAAGCAACAGAGCAACATCAGTTGGTCACCTAGAAAGTGAAGTCACTCTTTTGGAGGTCCCATAAATAAAAACTCTGAAACATGAAATGGAATTACATATAAATAAAATCACTTCCAAAGTTTGACGATTTTGTCGTGACTTGCAGACGCAACCAAGCCAGCAACAGACGACACAGCTAATGATGCAATTAAGCCTTCATGAGCTGAGAGGGTCATTGTCTTGTTCTCACTCATATTCCAAAGCTCCAAAGACTGCAAAACCAAATCAAACACGAGTAATTGTTATTCAGACAAAAACATAAGGATTAGAATTTACAGGCACTGGAAAATTGCATTAAGAGGCCCGATAATCTTTAGTTAGTACACTTGATAAAGTGTGGTTATAGTGACTTTTACAGGTTGCATTTGAATAATGATGAGGTATTTCAGATCTAATAAGTTCTCATATTTCCTGTATAGACGGGTAATGCGGAGTTTGTGAATATTTCAATTCAATAGCAAATTATAGAATTTTGCTCATCGATTGTCATTAAATAAATAATAGAAATAAAAAATAGATATATGAAATGTCAGTATATTTTCGATATGTGTACCTATCTACATAAAACTGAATTAAAATAATTCAAATGTAAAACAAAGAACAAATAAATAAATGCAGAGTTTCCCGACCCTAAGTATCAACTTTGGTGATTCACAATCCTTTATGTCAAAAAGTAGTTCATATAGATTTAGATTTCTCTAAATTTATAGAACATTTAGCCAACTTAGGTTATCATTATATTTTAAAACTTAACACATTTTATCTTTGTTATTTTGTTATCAGTTTTTCATATCTGAAAAATCAAGCATCATTCAGCAGTCCTCGACGTAGGTGTTTATATGCATATATAAAATAGAAAAGAAGAATTACATCAACCTTTACAAACAAAAATTAAATTACCTAACAATTCCAATGAAAATCAATAAAAAATACTACCTCCTATTTTTTTTAAATGTCATTTTAGCTTTATCAACCATTAAATAAATAAGTAACGTTTTGGATCTTTTGTACATATTTCTCCATTATTACCCTCATTTAGCTAATAATTACACTATGTCTTTTCATATTCACTCTTCATCTTTTCTCAAAACATCTATCTCTATCTTCATTAATGAGGGTTGTTATTGGCAAAAAAAAATATTCTGAATTATTGTGTAACTTCTCAAAACGACACTTATTAAAAATAGGAGGGAGTATTATTTATCAATCAATGATATTATATATACTTAAGTAAGAAAAACTACTAAAACCTAGGACAAACGAGTTTCACCGGAGGTGGATGTCATTTTGTATAAAATAATAATACAATATTTAGGAGTATGTAAAAAAATAAATAATCTATGTTTACTTCTTTTTCAGAAAAATAAGTATAGAATTTCTAATTAACTGTTTGTTTTGCTACACAAACAAACAGNAGCATGTGATAGTCATTTTCCTAATTCAGAATATACAACTACATTTTTTATGTAATTAGGATGAACCTCATGAGTCACTTTTGTAAATTACACCAAATTAAAACTATAGAGATAATAATAAACTTGCCTGATAACAACCGATAACGAGCAAGGATGAATATGTAGGGTGGAAAACACAGGAATGGAACTTGTTTCCATTACAACTCAGCTCATGCAAGCATTCGCCTTCACTTCCGGACCGCATAGTCCAAACCCTAACCGAGTCCTCACTAACAGATGCAACCAGCTCGCCAGACGAATCCCAGCAAATGGAATGAATAGTTTTTGTGTGGCCCTGTACACACAACCAAAAATTAAGACAAAGATAACAAAATTTAGACATTAATGAGAATAAATACCAAAAAGGCAAAAAAGATTATATTAATTTTGAAACAAATACCACCCTGACATGTACAAATACACCCTTGAGCTGTGTATTTGTTTGAAACATTATCTCCTAAACAGGGACTCACTCATGTTTTAGATCACGTGCTTAATTTAGAAAAAAGGCCATTCGATATTTTTCATTTCGTTTACTAGACTAAACCATAGAGGTAGTAATCGTAATTATCCCCTGAAAAAATACAATTTTTACCTTAAATAGGAGCATGAAGAAATTAAAAATACAATTTTTACCTTAAATAGGAGCACGAAGAAATTATCAACAGAAAGAAAGAATTAACCTTTAATGAATGGCGACAAGTGGTTGTCTCTGCATCAAGTATTGAAACTACATTCTCAGCAGCAGCTGCAAGGTATCTTCCAAGACGAGGCTGAAATCTAACCTGGGTCGTCCCACCCTATAAACCAACCAAAATTCACAAGTCAAGAACACATAAGAGGCAAAAAAAAGTAAAATCAAAATTTTATACGAACTCACCTCAATAGAGAGATATTTGTTAAAGATAATTCAGAATTTTATTTGTCAAAATGGGTAGTAGAAATTTTTTTTCAGAAATAAAATAAACTTTACAATTGCCAAATTAATATTTTCGTACCTTGAAAACTCTGGTGAAGTTTCCTTTAGTAATACTCCAGTATCTTATTTCACCATCCCCATCACACGAGCAGATGAGGTCATCTTTATTGGGATGAAAATCCAATGACATCACGCCAGCAGAGTGTCCAGTAAACGTACGAAGTGAGTAGCCAGGCTGTCAAAACAGTCGGATTGTAAGATCTTTAATAATAATGATGAGTGATACTGAGGATCAACATTTTTTATATTTATTTACAAAACAAAACCTCGAATTGAGAGCAGGAGTATGTTATNAAAATAAGCAAAGGTAGAGTTTCAACTAACAGTATCTGCATCCCAGACTCTGACAGTTTTATCAAAAGATGATGTGGCAAGGCGGGCCATGCTAGGACTAAAACGGACATCAGTAATAAGGGAAGAGTGTTCCTCAAGTGTAGTTTTCGGCTTCAGAGAATCCGTGTACCATAAAACAGCCTGCATTAATTTCAAGAAAACTTCATTACTAGCAAAAAATGAACATTAGTTAAAATGGCATTTAGTGAGCAGCAAGAAAAGGGGCAATTGTATATTTGGTTCACTTATTTGCGAACAACGTTGCTCAATCCCGACACTCGCCTTTTTGTCGTGTCCACCACTGGCGAGCAGTTTTCCATCTGATGAGAAGTGGCAGCATGCAACTTTACTTCCACTAGCACGAACAGAATTCACTTCCGTGAATGTAAACCCTTCAAAATTAAGAATTACCAATCATAACATCATAAAAGCAGTAGGTTTTACAGAAATTAAAACATTCATATTGACCTCATTCATAAAATATATAAAAGTTCTGGAATCTCAAAGGACACTAGAAAAGAGCCACCANAATAAGGAAAAAAAAAAGCATATTTTTTACAAACAGAAGTTCCAAGAGAAATTTGTCCTGATATGCAAGGACCCTGAACTGCAAAATGATATAAGCAAATCAAAATAATATTAAACAAGACCACAATTGCTAATCAGAAGAATACCCATATTTTCTCACATCGTCAACACAATAAATCTTCCAAACAAATAAAGCAAAATTGCAGATGTTCATAAAATAGCCTCAGACCCTCAAGGAAAAAGTGGAAAACTATCCAAAAAAATATTTCCTTACCTTTGCTAACATCCATACAGCGGCCAACCGCATCTCGTGGGTCAGCATCATCATGGGACAGAAAGGACTCCACATTGTCCTCAACATCATCCACAAAACGATCCATATCAGCTTGCCCGATGTCCTTATCATCCCACTGCACAGAAGTATACATGAACAAAATAAAAAAATAAAAAAAATAAAAAAAAAAAAATTTAAAGGCCCNTAAAAAAAAAAAAAGACTAGAGAACTTTTCCACAGATCAAATAAGAATTCAAATATAATGATAAACGATCTTTACCAAGTGATTTGATGGTGAAGTGAGAGTGCCAGTGTTATCAGACCCAAACATCATCAGAGGCTTTGAGGAGCTGCTACTGTGTGGCAAGGCAGGCATTGACATCACATCTCCCGGTGTATGAGTTGAAGGAGTTGATGGAGCCGAACTTGGAGAGGGCCCAGCTGTATTTGCTGTCCCAGAGCTGTTAGCGGGGCCCGAAGAAGATACAGGTTGCTTTCTCTTTCTTCCAACCTGGCTTTTTGAAGCCTTTAATGTATTGGAGACGATGTTAGATATCTTGTCTGCCTTAAGATGCTTCGGACAAAATACCCAAAAGATAAAAGCAATAACGTAGACAGAAAGGGCAAAAAGAAAGTAGCATCTGATTCAGCAGGGATTAATCACCAGGAAATATTTTAAAAGAAAATGAAATGATATTGTCAATTGTCATTTCATTTTAATTTTAATCCAATCAAAGATAAAGTCTATGCTTTCAACACACATAGAGCACAAATTACACACAAGTTTATTGTATTAAACACGATACAAAATTTTTATCCTGAAAATATGGCAACTGCAATAAACTATCAACTATAACCTTGACGCATGAATAGAGGATAATATACAGCAACACACCCATTTCAAAGTATCGATCTTATGATGACAATATACACATAACAGCAGACATGCACTATCAAATCGTGTTGCAATAGTTTCAGAGGTAAGAAGTAAAAAATATAACAAATAGGAAAAAACAAAAAAAACAACAAAATGGAGAAAAATAGCTATCATGAAGGAAAAGGCAAGACCTGATCATTTCCTCGGAAGGAATTGGACATGCTACCATCACCAGTGACACTGCCACTACCCATAATCTTATCTTGCTGTAGATTGTGATTCGAACTCTGAGGCTGTTGACCAGAGAGTGCATGTTGCTGAAGTTGCTGCTGGTGTGATTGATTACTGTTCTGCTGCTGCTGTTGATGCTGCATTTGCGCAAATTTCAACTGAACAACAAAATCAAAACGGCCGTCATCAGAAATCAAACTATACACAATCAGTACCAAATTCCCTCTTTATTTCAAGATCACTAACAGAATACACAGAATATCTGGGGCTTCAGGCCTATTTCTATTTCTCTCTCAAATTAAAGCCCACCCTCTTAAAGTACTACAACTTACAAGTTCTCCCTCAAATTTTTTTTCCTATTTTTTTTTTGTACTGTAAGAGTGGTACAAATGACAATTGGGTATCCTGTTTCTAGAAAAAACAGAAAAACAGGTTCTTTCCATAATTAAACCTATAATTTTTCGTAACTAACCCAAATCTATATTGCAGAAATCACGAAAGGAAGTTTAAAATGGAAAAAAAGAGCGCACCTTCATTAGCATTTCGGTATCTGCACGAGGCAAAACCGGGCCACCAGCTTGCAAGGGGGACCCCATATTAGGAACCACATCACCAACCGAATTAGAGAGCCCATCTTTACCCATAGAGAAACTTCGGTTATTAAGAAGCATTTTCAACCTTCGGCTCTCGGCATCACTTGCAGATGGAGAAAGACTCTGCTGGGCGAGCATTAGCTGCTGCTGGTGCTGAGGTGTCAGCATCTGTAACTGATGATAGGACTGAGGTCCTTGCATGAATGACTTTGGCTGTTGGAGTAACCCAGAACGAAGCTGGTCGAGACCCTAGTAAAATAGGTACAAAAATGTGGAAATGAATTTAACATAACTATATAGAATATTATATTATAAAATAATACCCAGAGGTTTGGAGGTAGTTATAAGAAACTTAAACAAGTACCGAAATTGAAAGTTATATAAATGAATGGGAAAGATGTTTTCTTCTGCCTAAAATTTAATGGGTTTAACCGTACATGTATATGAATATACTAGGGGTTTCCAGAACATTTTTCGTGTGAAGGTCTAAACATATATAACTTCAAGGGAATTGATGTAATTATAAAATTTCCCCATAAACAGTCTTGCAATTTGTAATTGTGAGTGACACAGACATACACGCACAAAGAGAGAAAAAGACAACCAGAGGCATAAAGAGGAGAAAACTACAAAACTACATTGCACTTACAGTTAAAGGCCAGCCTTTGAGCGTCAAATTGTTATTTCCTTGATTCGACCCTAAAATGTAGAAAAGAACATTAACATATACAGAGTACAGGATTCCACGATATAAATTAGACCATTTTTCGATCCTATGCTATTCGTGTAATCCAGTTTCCAACATTTTTCCATGCCTTGAATTTGATTATGTTATGGAAATTAATCAGTTTTATTCATGACAACACTGATAGTATTTAAACCTTCTTGAACATAGATTTTCTGAAGCCATGTTAATCAGTTTTTTTCATGGAAACAATGACAGTATTTAAACCTTTTTCAACAACATAGGTTTTCTTGAAACCAACGGATAAACGCGTACCAGGGATTCCAATCAGTGATCCTTCAGGGCCCGCAGCTCTTGGATTCAGGATGGGATTAATTTCAGTTTTGATATCCTGCTCACAAATATGTACAACAATTACACACAAATATGGACATATATGCAGGTTCAAACACAATTGACAAAAATCTATCTATACGGAAGATAGAAAAAGAAGAAAATGCTTACTGCTGTAGACCCTGGAAATTGCTGGCTTCGTGCTTGAACTTGTGGAGACATTCCACCAGCAGCACCATGCAACATTTGCCTTCCAGAAAGAGATGCAGGAACATAAAGATCAAAGCTTTCGACCAAGACTATGAACTTAAGTTTACCAACACAATAGAAAATCTTTAAAAAAAAATGAAAAGATAACGCTAACTATAAAAAGAATACTTGGGAATTTACACCAGAATCTCAGACAACGATCGAAAAGTTTACCAAAGACATATATACGCACAAATTCAGTAAAACATATATACGCAAAAATTCAGGAGAACGGAAAGGAAAAACACCAAAAATCATATTCATAAAGTACGGACAATAAGAAACACAATTATTTAAAATATATCAAATCCAGCATACCCAGTTGGCTGGCCAGAGGCTGCAGCTGATTTCAAGATCGATGCATGATTCGGATCCAAAAGCTGGCCCACATTATCACCAAACCTTTGCTGAAAGCCNATACCACAAATTTCACGAACAGATATAAAAAAACCTCCTCAACTTTCCATACCCTCACACATAAAAACTTAATTTACCTTCAAAGCAGCATCCTCCATAGAATCCCTCTTCAAATTCTCTTCATACATCTTCGTTGCAATCGCATTCGCGGTCCCACCGGTATTTTGTCTCATCAGAGGGTCATTTCCAACATTTCCATTAGCCGATCCATTAAGGGGGTGGCCACCCCCCTCGCGCCTTTGCTGTTGTTGCCCTTGCTGCTGATGAGCCTGTTGTTGTTGTTGTTGCTGCTGCTGCTGATGTTCCTGTTGTTGTTGTTGTTGCTGTTGTGGCTGTTGCTGTTGAGCTTGCCTTTGTAATAAAAGCTGAATTTGCTGTTGTTGCTGTTGGTGTTGTTGATGCTGCTGTTGTTGTTGTTGCTGTTGAGCTTGCCTTTGTAATAAAAGCTGAATCTGCTGCTGTTGGTGTTGTTGTGAATTCTGGGGCTGTGGTGGCTGTTGTTGGTGCTGCTGCTGCTCTCTAGCTTTCATCAACTGAGTCTGNAGTTAGTTCACTCATTCAGTGCTTGGCTGCAATCTAATTTATACTTTTTCTGATTTTCCACCAAATTATATACAAAAATAGAAAAAAGTAATATATCCACTCGGTGAGATTCTTGCTTACCAATAGCACTGCACACCATTTCAAGAAATAAAAAGTATTATTGAACTTCCCCGACAAAATTGTACTATTCACTCGCTGACGTGCTTCTAACCATTAATATTTTACTCTATTTATCAATCTATACCGAATTCCTCATATCTACCAACATTCTTGAAATCCATCATTATTGTTTCAAGAGATTCTCCATGACAATTCTAGACCAAAATAGAAAGTCTTGAAATACTGGATATGAGATCGAAATGCAATAATGCGTATGTATTGGTTGCCAAAATAGCAACTGGAACTATGTGAGCGAGTAAATAGGAGAATTCTTGAAATAAATGTGCGACAACAATGTTAATTTGATAAAGCAGTGAATACATGTGAGACAAATAAATAAATCTACAATAAGAGGTAAATTTGAAGTTGATAAATTTATTTTTCGGTTTCGTAACAAACCTCAATATACGAGGCAGCAACATCAGAATGCTTCTCATTAGTCCTGGCAATGAATATATCCCAAAACACTGACCACCATTCGAACAGAAAACCACCAGGAGCATCGATAGCTGAAAGAAGCCCCCGAAAAAAGTAATTTAGTTAAAAAAAAAAGATTACGCAAATAACTTCATCTTCCATCACTTTCAATATATACATACCCACAGGGTCAGATGCCACCTTTCCCTCAGCTTGAAAAGCTTGGGCAGTGGCCTTCAAATCTCTCTTCACTAAATAGTCGTGAATGTAGACATCCAACCTAAAAATTAAGTAACTCAAAAATCAAAGGGTAATTCGGGCCCTCAATATCAAGGAAATAATAACTCTACAACGCAGCTGAGTACAATACAATACTTATTACTACATTCAAGAAAAAGAGAGGGAAAATCTAAACCCTAAAAGTAATCCAAAATCAATATCAAATCAAGAAGGTATAATGGCACAGCGAGAGAAAATGTTCCGGAAAAGAAAAACTTTATAGAGATACAAAAAGGACTCTGAAAAGCGAACGCATGAAAGAGGATATGAAGATAATAAAATGCCTGTCCAGAACAGAAATAACTCAAAGGGAAGGATGAAGAAAGTTCCCAATTCACAGACCCAAAATTAAGAACAAAAAAATAAAAAATAAAAATTGGTAAGTCTGCACAAAATAAGAACCTTGACCCAAAAGCTAAAATAAATAAGAAATTTTCACAGCCAAGGGCAACGGAGAACAAGAACTCGAAATAGAAAACGAGAAGCAGAAAGAAAGAAAGAAACTCACATTTTATCAGCTTCCCAATTGGTTTGCGACATCCTTCGCAGTCCAATAGCAGTTTACCGAAGCCAGATCCTTTGAAATAAAAATCTACTCCCCTATATCTCTTCCTCCTTCAGCTTCTAAAAACAATTTCGACCCTTAGAAAGCCCATAAAGAAAAGAAAAAACATACAAAAAAAAAATGGTCTTGAAGCTTACAGATAAGAGCAGCACATCATAATCTGTGGCAAAATGTTAAGACATACTGCTAACCAGGTTTGTCTGAAATACGACGAGATCTCGATAAGAATTAAGCGAAAACTGGACTCCTAAACTGAAACCAACCGCGTATATGAATACTAAATAGTAAATAAATAAAAGCACGCGCTGTATAGTGTTTTTCTTCTTCGGCTTTATACAGTCAAAAGGACAAAAATGAAAGATTATCAGATTACCTAAAACCTCCACAAATTGAAAGGGCGAAAAATAGAAGACCCTTGTGAGTTTTCTTTCTTTAGTTTTCTGGTCTTGAGAAAGCAACGGTGACTGTTTATTTGGAAAGAAAATTGTATTTATTTTTCTGATTTGCTTTTTTCTTGGTGGATTGAAGGGCTGCAGCAGAGATATCATAATGGCTCTCAGTGATAAATTACTATTTAGTCCCTTACAGGGTCAAATTTTCTGCTGAAGACAATTGACGACGCAGAGATAGAAATCTGAAATTACCACAGTAGCCCTGCAGAGCTCCCAAGTTCTGATGAATAAACGGTGATTAAAATGTCAATTGACTTGCTTTTTGTTCTGAAACAGCCTTTCAACAAGGGGGCTTGTATTTTAGTGAATTTATAAAGTAGCCCTCTAATTTTTAAATATTTGTGCACTTACCCCGATGATTTCCAGATAGCTCCTATTATTCACTTTTTCTTTTTTGTATTCTTTTCTTTTTCTTGACGTGGTTTTCCTTTTTCTTTTCAGGAAATCAGATTACCTCAATTTCATTCTTATTGTTCGGTATTAATGAGAAGCAGGAGAAATGACAGAAACAACCATGGTCGGCCAGGTCAACTCAGGGACTAAAAAGTAAAACTGTGGGCTCGTTTGCCTCACCAAACTCAAAAGGTATAAATAAATTCGAAATTGAGTGTTCTAGATAAATATCGAAGCCGACCTACACACGTTAGTATGTGTTTCTTGTAAGATGATGTTTGAGCATATATATATATATATATATATATAGGTTAGGGATCCGGTGAGAATGACTCTTAATGCGAGAAATATGAATACTTTGTATCCATTAGATCGGATGATCTAAGAGCACATGTTTTGGGTCTCTTACCAAAAAATCACATGCCACATGAGAAATAGACTTAAATGCAATTAAAAGTGGACATGGTCTAGCTTATGTGGCAATGAAAAAAAGAGACCAAGTCCACACTTGGGTCTATTTTAGACCCAAGTACAAACCCAAACACTCATCATTTGTTCTTAATTTAATTTTTCTTTTAATGAATAAAACATATTAGAGTATTTTTATTGGTTGACATGTATACAAGACCTAGTATTTTTATTTTTGCATTGCAAAGTTTTTTAGTTTTTTTACTTGGGTTTGTCCATGTCATTTAAGACTCAAGTCCATTTATATGTCACATGTACAAAAAGTGACCCAAAGCATTGTGGGTGCTCTAATGACGAAAAAAAACAACAATTATACCTTCATTAAGGGTATTTTAGACTTTTTTACAATTACCCCATCCACTCACATACCCCACTCACTCGCCACCTACCCAGCTATTTCAAGCTGTCCCACACACACGTGACCAATCTCACACACTCCAAACAATTCACATCTCTCTCTCACACACTCACACACACTACCCTGCGCACACACTTACACACACTACACCGTCTCTCTCTCACACGCACACACACTACACCGGCGACACACACAAAAACACATACTACGCAACCGGCGCACACACTTACTCATACAGACTCACACACTGTTCACGACGGGAACATCCAAGGAGCTTCCGCCGTCGATGGCATCCGCCCGGAAACGACATCGTCACTACCTCTTGCCGCCGCACGAGAACGGCCGCCGCCTCTACTTACATTTCTCCTCATCCGCCAATCGTCGCTGCTCGAAGTCATCTCGGTGATGTTGCCACATCACTTGTACCGTCTGTGCATCTC